TGGATAAAAGACCGGAACCATTTTGTGCAACCGAACTTGAACTGATCTCTCATTTATCGTGGGCGATGATAGAGCAATTGAAACTAGCATAAATGATATAAACAAAATGGTTGGAATAAATTTTTTCAACATTCACTCAAAACGGACGGATAAAGTTTATCCATGGGTTCCTTAACGGCTTTTGTGAACTATGCAGCACTTCAATTGTATTATATGTGTACATATAACACAATTGAAGAACTCAAAACAGATGAAGAACTTGCAGCATGTTTTAATTACGAGTTTGCATTAAAGCTTCCAGCACTTTTTGATGAGTAGCTTTTAATGCAAAAAGAGTTCAAAAGCAGTTCTATGTGATGCAATAGAATCAATTGTGTCATGCAACAAAACAATACCTGACTCAATATTTGTTATCAATGGAGGGTATCTACTTCACCTCATTCTATGAATGAGATCAGAGACATAAAAAGATATATATATATATATATATATATATATATATATATATATATATATATATATATATATATATATATATATATATATATATATATATATATATATATATATATATATATATATATATATATATACAAATGTTATATATCATATGTGCTTCGTCAGTATCGGAAAAACTGTTGGGTTGTTTTTGATGGCTATTCTGATAGTCTACCTAAAACCAAATCATAAAAACACAAACGATGCCAGTCCAAATCAGTTTTAGCAGATATTATTTTTGAAAAATTGTTGATAGTTTATTCAACCCAGGCAAATTTTCTTTCAAATCCTTGCAACAAAACTAGATTTTTTTGAAGCCTTATCGAGTCACTTTGCAGATTCTGGAATTCATGTTAAACAGGCACCAGGAGATGCGGATACACTAATTATCAATATAGCTATTAATTTGTCACAATATGAGTTTAACGAACATGTTGTAATTATTGGAGAAGACACAGATCTATTAGTATTACTTGTGCCTCTAACATATTACTTGTGGCTCTAACAGATTCTACTACTAATATTTTCATGATGAGGCCTGGCAAAGATACTAAGCAAGAGAAAATTTACAGAGCGAACAAGCTGAGAGAAAGTGATTAAACATCATTTCCAACTGTCAAGGCAAAAAAAAAAGCTTTGAAATTGCGGCACAACAATATAAATCTATGCAAAGTTGTTGCTGTATTTAACACGCCAGAAGTCTTACACGATAATATTGCTTATGTCGGAAAACATTTATTTAAATCTTTTTCAATTTTTTAAAATACAAAATAAAACACTTTTGAAGTTAAATAAATATTATATACACATCATATTTAAAGATAGTATAAACTAGAACAACCGAAATCAGCGGCGGATCCAGGATTTAGTGGTGGGGGGTAATGCTTAGAGGTTTACTGAGGGGAGGGTTTAGAATGGGGTATCCCCCTCCCAAAAGTTTATGTCAGGCATATAAGTTATTATAAAATAAGTTTATTAATATCACTTGATTAAAAATTAGTGGAGTGACGACTGTAGAATTTGTAGGTAGTGAACCACTGGATAAACTCACTTGACTCACATCGTCAACTGTTGTAGTTGTAGGACTGGAAAATTAACAAAAAAAGAACACGGTGAATACCCTTCTAACATTTTGTAGCATCACCGCCACTGTAAGTCGGGATTAGACGAATTTGTGAATTAGTCACTTTTTTATTTTTAGTTCACTTTTTATTTTTGAATTAGTCACTTTTTATCATACTAATTATTATTGTAATTAAGTACACGAGTTGCGCGAAGTGTAAAATTAATTGTCCAATGTCCACACTAAACCCATTTTGTGTGGACATTGGACAACATTGCGATTTTAAAACAAGGCGATTCAACACACAAATGCCGGAATTTAGCTCACGTGCTAAACGGTAGCCAATTCGATTGAAACCACCACAACGCACTCGTTCGAGTAAAAAAAAAATTGTAAGTCTGGTGGGAGGTTATGCATTACCCACATTACCCCCCCCCCCTCCTTGTATCTGCGCCTGACCGAAATGTAGAGGCTTTTAAAAAAAAACTTAAAATTTCTAAAAACATAAAAACACCAGTAGAAGTTTGTTGCACATATGTAATGCTAGAGACTTATGTTATTAATGTGCACAGATAATTAGTCCTAATAATGTTTTTCTTCATTAAAACTTAATGAAAAAAAAAAAATTAAAAAGCCCATCGTGCTACTCCTGAAGGTGCTGCTGTGGAGGAAAAAAATTATTGTCCGTAGCTACCAAAAACTTTAAATTTTTTTATAACAAATAAAAGTTTTTTTTGCTATATTTATTTTTTTGCTATAAATATATATGGTCAGATTGAAAAAATTGAAAATGTATTGTGTTAAAGCGTGGGTTTAAACCCTCGCAAAACGACGCCGACGAATTAACAACTGAGCTATAGAAATTGTGCATGTGAGAGAAATACAAACCATTTTTAAAAGCTCTAATAAGTGGAAAAGGTCCATATGTTAATTTTTTTTACTCTTAAATTAATTTTTTTAATGAATTGTTCTTTTACCGTTGACTAAAAAATATCATAGTAAATAACGAATAAGTACTGAAATATTCGGTGTGGAATAAATAAAAATAGAAATAAACGGTTCAGTGAAGACTCGTTTTTTACGGTTCCAGACCTCTAGTATTATTAATATCTGAAATAAATCACTCCATAACAAATTTATGTGATAAATACTCTTTTCGAATTTCTTATAAATTTATGTATTACTTATGCGTTTTCTGTTTTTTCTGTTATACAAAATAGTTGTGAGTTGTTTTAGCTTTTCCTTTTTGATTTTTTTTATTGATTGACGCAACTCATAAACTTAAATCTACTCTTCTATGTCATATTATTTAGGTAAAAAAAAATATAAACTACTTTAAAATATAAAATAAAATTTTTTATTTTTACCACAACAAAAAAATAATGTACAAGGCTGGAAAACCAAAATGTCTATTTTCAAATTATTATTCCTAATTTCAACTTAATTTTCAACTTATTATACCAAATCTCAACTTATTATTTATCAACTTATTACTTATTATCAATTTATTAATTCTGTTATAAATTATAAAAAATTATAATAAACAACAGATATTAAAAAGCCGCGAGAGTGGATGCAGCATTTTTAGATGTTTCAGAAAGCTAACTTCTAGACATGGATCACACTCCAAACATTAGAATATTTATATTTTTGCCAAGTAAGGATGTTTTTCAAAAAATTGCAATAATTAGAGCCTGGTTATAAGAGAACCCTAAACTTTTAGTTACACCTGCTCCAAACGTGAGAGCAACTAACTAAATTAACTAAATTTACATTCATCGATAAATTTTAAATTTCATACAATAATCCATTAGTCTTTGAAAATTATGACCACATAAACCTTGAAAGAGTTACAAAATTTAAAAGTTTTTTAACGCTAAGATATTCTTGATGAAATTTAAAGTTTATCGATGAATGTAAATTTATTTGAGAATAGTCAAGAAAAAAAAAGTTATATCAATTTGTTGCTTTCAAGTTTGGTATACGTGCAGCTAAAATTTCAGGGCCTTTTTATTCCCAGACCTCAATTACTGCAACATTTTCCTAAGTATCTTTATTTGACATAAGTATAAAACATGTAAATGTTTGAAGTTTGTATTTTATATATATATATATATATATATATATATATATATATATATATATATATATATATATATATATATATATATATATATATATATATATATAGCTGCAGCTCTGAAGCTTTCAGCGTTTGTATAGTCCTGGTGAGCTTTTTATGTGAAAATTGTTTTTAGGGGCAAAGACCCGGGAAAGGGTTGTATTGTATGTGCCCGCTTTTTTGCTACATTAACTTGCAGTTAATTTTTTTACTACCCTCCAAAATAGCTAGAGCGTTAAAACTTTCAGCAGTTTTATAGTCCCAATAACGTTGAGATATTGCATATTAAAATATTTTAATTTAATGATACAAAGGGGAACAAGTGCCCTTCCCACCTTCCCACCGTAACTTTTTTTTTAATAAAGGAAAATATTTTAGAAAGAGTCTTTGAAAATAATGCCTTTAAGTTTTTATTTAAATTTATTAAGGTAATAAAAGCGAAAACTCAGAGCACCTCAAAAATAAAAAAAAGTGAAACTGACTAAATATAAAATCATTCTATTTAAAAACAAGTGAGAGCTACTTCTAAGCATGTTAATATATAATTAAATTTTAGTATTTATTACTTAAATTAGGTCTTTTTTTTAAGGATTATTTCCCGATTACGCAATTGCATTCGTATGTTAGGGGTCGTCCATAAATTACGTCACGCAATTTTTGACCGTTTTTGAACATCCCCCCCCCCCCGTCACAAAATCGTAACACTTAAGAAGCGAGTTTTGAATGAGTCGTCACAAAACCACCACACCCCCCTCCATCCCCCTTATAGCGTGACGTAATTTATGGACGACCCCTTAACGTTGTTTAAGTTATCTTTTTTTTATTTATTTGAATTTTCATGCTATACTTTTTTATAAAATGTTATATAGATATTTTATAAAATTCTTAATTTATTTATAAAAGTTTACAACTGAAACTTATCAATATAATGTAATAATTTGTAATTTAGTTTGTTAATTGTATGTATTTGATTCATAAAACATAATTAAATATATTTATTACGCCGTGTTTAGTAAGTTTTTTCGTTTCGCAAGTGCGACTTCCGCATTTGCGAAATTGCGTAATTCAACTTGTCAAAGGCTATATTTCGTAGGTAGATTTGCGAAATGAACTTAGACGGGTTTTTTTGTTTTGTAAAATTCGGTACGAAAAAAAAATGATTTTTGATTCTCAATATGCTTCCGAAAGATTTTTATTTTTCCGGAATTGTACGAAATCTTTCGGTTAACAGCTTTAGTATTCCCATTATTTTTTTCAATACAAATAAGTTTTTATGTAAGTAATAAAACTAAAATCAAAATTTAATAATTTTCTCACCCGTTGTAAATATAAGTAATCCATAATGCAGATTGCTTAAATGTCCGTCGCTTGTTCAAACAGAAAAGATTATATTGCATTTTAATTCACATTGAAGTGATCATACATTTTTATAGATAAAAGTATAATTTACTATTTTATATATTTTTTCTTTTTTTCCAACTTGTGTGCAGCAAAACATCATCCTTAATAATTTAAAATAAGCTTTTGATTGTAAAAACGTATTTATAGTTTGAATTGTTCGTAAACAAATCAAATTTATATTTTTAATTACATTTGTTACGTTTTGAATTAAAATCAACTTTATAATTGATGAACTTAGTACGTCATCTCTAAAGCGAAATAATTTTTAAAATGTACGATTACAAAACGTTAAAGGTGCGTGGGGGATATGAAACAAAGTTGGCTACAGAGGTAGACACAGTGTGTTTAACCTTTAATTGGATTTCGTAACAATAGACTAATATTGTTTACAACATTGGTCAATACTGTCAAGAAATATTGCACCAATATTGTGTTAGGAATACTTATAAATTTCCCTGAGAAACAAATGATTTCTCTCGTTATTTTATTATCATCTGACTGCGAATACTATTTACCGTAATATCAGCCGTTATATACAATTCGCAAATATAACATTTATTATGTTTATACCCGTAAATGAGGTAGTTTAATTTCCCAAACCTACCAGAAGACCACATCATTATAAGTTCATTAAATTTAATATTCAAAGGCAACCACTAATTATTTTCTATCGCATGCTTGTAATCACTCGCCCTTTTTTTTTCAAGTGTTCTTTTAAACTTAATTTTTCTTGTTACACGATTCTCTTTTGTTATTGAATCGACGTCTTCTTAAAGCAATATCGCAAGCTTTCCTCGCATCAGCCAGTAAAAAAGCTGTTTACCTTAAACTTTGTCATGATCTATCGGCAGAAGACTTTCAGAAAGTTTAAAAAGAGTTCGTTGCAAGAAAAGGACCACCTTAGATAATGATTAGTGATAGCGCAAAAATATTTGCAGCAACAAGAAATTGATTACGTACGTTTATGAGGAACGCAAACTATTTAGCAAAAAAAGTCATAAAATAGAGATTTAATCAATCAAGAGCTAATATTTGGTTGTGGAACTGGTCACCTTGGTCATCACTTCCAACAACACTTCCTTTAATTCACTTAAATTTAGCATACCCTTTCCGATTGTTTGTGATAAACTTTTTTTCATTGTTACTATTATTTTTCAAACCACCCATCCCACCAAGAATTAAATTAAAAGTAAATTTGCTCCTCAATACTTTAAATATACACCATTTTATTTCCTCTGTTAACTTACAAACGCTTTCCCTTATACAAATACATTTTCCCTTATACAAATACATTCATATGATGTATACGGCGTTTCAACTAATCCCCATTGGCCTCGCCATCTTTCCTTGCGTTTTAACCAAATTGAGCCGTTAAACCACAAGCTTGACAGCTTCTCTACACTCAACCCTCTTTTTTCAAGATCACTAGGGTTTTTTTTTTGTTGAGACGTATAAGCATTCCACTTGGCTATAAATAAAATATATTGAACACGTTTCAATACAAATAGTGACCAACTGCTTTTTTCTTTTAACTAATAAACTAATGCAGTATTATCGACCCAATTATACACATTGCAAAAGTTATACTTTATTAATGTATTCTTAACAGGATTCGTTAACTTGCTTAAGGTATGTAGTGCACTCTCAGAATACTGATATCCTATAATGCAATTTTGCTTTTGCTACTAGTATTGAGTATTTAAGATTACTCAACGGTTTACGTTATAGAAAGAACTATGTGTTAGGTTACAATCATGTAATATATAATATTGATTATACAGCAATTAATAACAAAAAGAGTTTGTTCATGGGAAACCGAAACAGGCTTTAACGCTCCTACCTCCTTTGACAAGTAATAAGAAACTTAGTGTCGAGTTATTCGAATAATTCGATGTCGTATACAATTTTTCGATGTCGAATACAACTTTAAACGATTTTACAATTCGATGTCGAATATAAATTAAAACGATTACGAAAAATTTACGTTTATTCACGCGTAGATCTTTCGTAATCGTTTTAAATTGTATTCATTAATTAGATTTATTTGTAAGAATTTAATCCAGCATTGTTTTGAGTCAAACGTTTAAATTCACTAAGTTTAGTGTCATTAATAAAGTGAAGATTAATATTACATGCGCATGCGCAACATAAAACTTCAAGCGAATCATTTAAATGATTGACATGTTTATAATATAGCCATTTGATGTTAACATTGTTTAAAAAATTGGGTTTTTTTAAATTTTAAAAGATGATCCTCGAGAAATTATATAGACAGGATTATTATATGATTCAATATAGTTCCAATTACAAATTAAAGTTAAATTCCTTATTTTAATTAATCAATTTTGTACAAGGTGTTCATATGTATTGCTAGTATTAGAAATCCAATGCAAGCAAATTATTGAATCTGTCCAATATATTATGTCGTAAATGTTATAATTAGGTAGTAATAGATCGTAAATAGATGCTACTAATTTTTCTAAAAGTAAAGTTGCAAAGAGCTTTAATTGAGGCATTGTGTTCTTGCCTAGTAGGGCAACCTTAGATTTTGAGTCTATTAAAGATGTACTAAAATTAGCATTAAAAAATAAGCACAAAAACTAAAGAACTTAGCACTTGCATCAGAAAACCCACGTAGCTCAAACTTTACAACCTTTATTGTACCCATCTCAGAACTCATATACCATCGAGGTAATCGAGGTAATCGAGGTAATCGAGGTACCATCGAGGTAGAAAACTATTTAGAAAAAAAATCTAAAATCAGAAACAGATCTAAAATTAGATTTCAAATCATCAAAGAAAACAATAAAATAAAGAAAATAAATCATCAAACAACTTTACATTCCAACCTAATTTAGCAATACAAATCCTTTAAAATAAATTTTTGCATGTTTCAACTACAGGATTTAAAAGAGCTTTTGGGTCTTAAATACTGGCAATAAAACTCATTATTTTTTAGTAAGAACCATTAAAACTACATTTAACAACTTCTCAAAGAAATTATTTCTGGATTTTTATTTCATTTGAGACCTAAAACTTTTGTATTTATTTTTGTACTTTTTCTTTCAACATTGTTGCCGTTAATATGTTTTCAAATTCTAAAGAATTAGACTCAAATTTTCTCAAGTAGAAATCTCCTTCATTTAATATATCCTTATATCTATTAAAAAACAAAACACCTTCTTCGATGGAACTACAGCTTAAATTGTCTATATGCAAGGGTTGTAAAAATTTTGTGCTAAAACTAATATCAGAGAGGCAAAACATCTCTTTATGATAAATCAATGTAGCGTTAAGAAGGAATGGTGACGAAGTAACACCAAAAGGAACTCGGCATAAACAATATGTTGGTAATTGAGATGTAAAAAGTTTTTTATAAGTAACATTATTGTCATCATCAAACCATATTAAACGTATATATAAAAATTTTTGTCATCTTTATGAAAAGCAACTTGCAAGAATGCTTTTTCTGTATCTGCTATAAAGGCATATTTATTTGAACAAGATTATATCAAAGTTGTTGCTAAACTTGGTCCACCATGTATGCAACTGTTTAAAGAGGGACCTAATAAAGAAAAACATTTCTCATTTTTGTTGTGATTTTGTCTTTACGTCAAGCAGGGCGATGTGGCAAGTAATGCTCATCCATAATATTCAAATCATAACTATCTAGTTTCTCTATTACACCAGACTTTATCTGGTTAATGATTATTTGATTGTGTTCATTTAAGAGCTCAGAATCACTCTTTAACTTTTTAAGAACTGTGCTCAAACGTTTTATAATAAGCTATAATTATCACTTTAAAATGGATGGTTTTCTTTAAATGGTAACTTAACTGTATATTATCATTTTTTATTCTTCCAAGCAATATTATTTTTAAAATGTTCAACAATCTTATATTTAACCCCATAATTTTCTAAAATACGCAATGATGAAAAAATATAACTCATTTGTGAGTAAATGTCAAATAGGAGACAACACTTTTGTGCATTTTCTTTATTCTTTACATTAACCATAGCTGTTTGCAACAAACATTCTTAGATTTTATCGATTGTTACTTGGAGCAGATATTAGTTTACTGTTTGGCTCTTCTTTATTGTCATTATGAGAAGGGAACGTTATGAAACAAATAGACACGGTGTTTCATAGAGCATTCGAAACAAATGGTTGTAGACCGACAATCTTAAGGCATATAGTCTGATTTTAGACAATTAAAGCAACGTTTTTTTTATCTCTTAAACAAGCCTTCCAGTGCGGTCGCACGCCTTGTACGTCCACGATTAAAGTAATTTTTTTAGACAACTTAACCATGTTTTTATATAGTAAGAGTTTCATGAATTCGTGGCAAATTAAAGCTGTAAGAAACTAGAGAATAAATCAACAATACTTGAAGAAAAGAACCGGCTATACAAAGTAGAAAATCTTAATAAAATAAGTTGAAAAAAATTTATAAATAAGAAAAAGTAAACTGTTGTCAAAAAAACAATATATCTAAATATTTACTGTTTTTTTCTAATTTTTAGAGCCTTTTTTTATTTTCCGCTACAATAATTGATAAAAGTCAAGAAAAGAAGTAAATAAGAATATATCGAAAACAAAAATATTTTTTGATATACAATTTTTTCGCAACTTTTTTCAGTCAGTATTGTACGGAAATACTTTATAAATTGTGCTAGAAACACGGCCAAAATTTTGTGAGCTAGTGCATTGTTAATTTACTTAACTTCTTTAACGCACTTTTTAGGAGCCTATTTGAAACTTTTGTTTAAGTTTTTAAATACATTTTTTTAAACAGAGCAATCGTTATGTCCATTATCTCTAGTAACTCGTAGTAACATTGGGAATTGGGCAATATAATAGAAACAACTTCATACATGCATCAAATGCAGTAAATACATTTATTAAAATGTTATTCTTTTATTTAACTTATTCTGTCATCAACAAAATTTATTAATCAAATAATTTTTTACAAATAAGTAACAATCTTTTCCTTATTTTCAATCAATCAATTTCCTTATTTTCCTATTATACAGGTATTGAGAAAAAACGTCAAATATAGCAAAAACTTTTTTTTTCCTCGCATTGTAAACAT